GGGGAAGGGGGAGGGGGAGCCAGAGCTTCTGACTCTGAGGCAATAAATCCTTATGTGAGAAACTTACCTTTCTTTCCAGCACCATGATCAGGTAGTGAAGAAGAGTTATTTTTGAATTGGAGCTTGACTTGGTATCAATGATTCTGTTTAGACTGCCCAGCTTAAATCCTAACGAAGAAAAACAGTAAACATTTTCCACGCCGCCTAGATTAGCTCGCTATTTGCAGGCGGTGTTTATTTTAAGTAATTGTTTCGGAAGACCTAATAAACTTGAAACTTGAAACTCAGTGACTTAAAAATTCTAACATGGCCCCGAGGTTAGGGTAAATTAAACAAAAGAAATAGGTTTTTTATCCTTCAACCTCGATGTGATTTCTATTGTTTTATTCCCCCAAACCTTGAAGCCAAGTTTAAATTTATACATCGAAAATGCCCTGTTGATAAAGAATTTTTATCTTCGTTAAATTTTTAAATTTTCAACGTGATTTTGTGGAGTGTTATATTGAACCACAAAGCTGTAACTAACTACACTATGATGTCTCACCAGCAGCATTTCCTCTCGCTCCTCTGTTCATGTAATTACCAAACGCCAGAACAACTTCAAGTAATATTCTAAGTCTTTTACTTCTTTGAAGTTCCTTGGATGCTTCCAATACAGCTGCGGAAAAAAACATTCAAGACAATTGACACTTTCTCCCACGATTTTAGATCTCGATGTCTCCGCTCAAAACCACGTTCTAAAGGGCTTTGACAACGACAAAAGAAGGGAAAACAAATAAACTCCGTTAGACTGTTTACAGCCACTCATCAGTGCTTATTTAATCTACCGCCAACCTCACAGAGCAGTACAAAGGGAATTATGATGCAAAACGAACAGCGCAAGAGTTCGTCCACTGTTGTCGAAGAATTCGTGCGATATTTCGAGCGAAACTTAGTGACTTATCCCAGAATAAAATTATCTCAATCATAACTTGAAACTGATGGCAATACGGTGGCCAATTTACCATTTCAACTTTGTTGATATATCCAAATTATGATGGCAATAAGTACTGATATAAAAGTAACTATAACATTAAAGTTCAGCATAGCATTCCCCTACCTTGCACCTTTGGTTTAACCTCGCCCATTCTCTCGGGAAATCTTTTCTTGTAAAACAATGACTTTAACCTCTGCTCGTAGTGGACAATTCTGCAACGTTTTCAAAAATGCAAACGTTAATGCAAGACAAAGTTTTATCGATCAATATACAGATAAACTTAGCATCCCAGTACATACCTTGACATGTCATATAAAAATCTATCTGCGCGAGCAAATTGATCGATTTCTTTGTTGTGTGCATTGAGAAGATTCTTCTCGTCTGAAGTAGGGACGTACTTGAGAAGCTGTAAAATAGACACAATAACAAATAAGGTCAAACGTCTACGTGATAATGGAGCTAACTTCATTCCTTTGTCCCACGTTTGTGACAAAAGTTCAACACGTTCATTTACTTAAGATTTTTTTTTGCAATTTCCAGTAAGGAAAAATAATGGAGTGGGTAAGTTTCTAATGAAACTGTAGTGCTGCGTCGGTGCGTGTGGCAAGGTAATTTTATCATACTGACACAATCAACTAAGTTGATAATGTAAGTTGGCCACCGAAAAGAGTTTAAAAGCTGCCGTTTTGAGCGTTAGCCCTTCATCAGAGCAAATGACGAAGGGCTAAGGCTCAACTGAAACGACAGCTTTTAAAGTCTTTCCAGTAAGAAAACTTTACTTTGATACCTGTTCCACCATGTCTTTCGACAGCTCATCATTTGCATCCACTGAAAGAATCGCTATAGTTATTTCTTCATCCGTCATCTTCAGTTTCGAAAGCAGAATGCCACAGTTCTAAAGAAGTCGAATAATTCATCGTTAAAACACTCTCACTGATAGCAATGTATTTGAGAAGAAGTTTATGTTACTGTAGCACCAATTTCCTTCAACAGCCTGAAAGTTTTTTAGGAACCAGTCCAACCTCTCTTTAAATCACGAAAATACATTCGTGGATGACGCTGATCGATTCGTCGATGGTTCAGTCGATTCTCACCACTCGTATTAAGGGAAACACAAAGCAACCGTAAGGGAGAATTCCTGCACTGATCAATACACACCTGCGCGCGTCTGCTGTCAATAAGTGACATCTCTTTTGGTTTTGATATACTATCTGCACCGTCCTTGTTTTCTTTCTAAATTCATAATAAATAAAATGTAATAAAAGAATAAAAACAATAAACTGATACACGATCAATTATGTTTAATAAAAAAGAATGTCGAAAAACTAAGACTGTACTGAACTTTAATTTCTTTGGCTGATGTCAAAGTAAGGATAAACTGTACCTCTTTTCTTTGATACGCCGAAAACATTCTATCAAAATCTTCAAAATCCATGACAGCATACACCTGAACAATACAAGCAAATTCAGTGTGACTAAAAAGAGATTTACCGACATAAACATAAAGGGAGAGAGAATTTTGGGTGGAAGCCAGCGGTACCTGCGCATTAGTCAAGGGCTAATCATCTTCACGTACAGCCCAGGCGTGGTACTGACTAAACTGCTCAACTTCCAAGTCCGGTAATAAACTCTTAAGACTAACATCAAATCTATCTATAGGAGAGGGCGTGCTACCATTACCTTCTAAAGGGCTCCAGATTAGAAAGAGAAAGCTCCCGGTTTTTTACGAATTTTTCCTAACAGGATGACGAGTTTACATCTACATATTACTATAAATAGTAATAATTCATGAACAATTAATGGGTACCTTATAATAATAATAATAATAATAATAATAATAATAATAATAATAATAATAATAATAATAATAATAATATTTATATAGCGCCTATCCAACGATAGATCTAGGCGCTTTACAAACTGAGAGGAAATATAAAATTAAAGTTAATCAAAGTAAATAAACTTAAAATTGAAGTAAAAACATATTAAGTCTATTTCCTAATGGCTAAAGTAAAAGTTCTCAAAAAGGTAGGTTTTAAGTTTATGCTTAAAAAGATTTAAGTTCTCGCATGAGCGTATGTTGTTGGGTAATTTATTCCAAAGTTCAGGGGCTGAAACGGAGAATGCTCTAGAACCATACCTTTGCATCATCAATGTCGGTCCAAACAGTGCCTTTTATTTTAGACTAAAAATGAAGAAAAAGATACAAGAACATTAAGATCATCATCAATCAAATTAGTTCAAAAAAGGCTAACCTTTTAAGAAGAATTTTTCCCTTTTCAGCAATTGACACCTGACGACCATTTTCGAAAATCCTCGAGACACATACCATGATAATTTGGTTATATCAACTACGTTGATATTGCAAGTATTCGTTACGGGGGCCAATTTACAATTTACAATTACAATTACAATTTATCACTTATAGAGCGCTATTTACAATGACAGATCAACAGCGCTTTACAATCAGTCCTAACCCGCCCATCCCACCCCAGGGGAGGACATCCATCACACAGTAATCTCGTGCGTGGGAAATTAACGTCTCCTACCCCTAACCCTGTAGGAGACGGGACCTCCATTTATTCGTCCCTATCCGAGAAGACTAGAATATCTAACCATTTCTTAATGTTATAGAAAGGTAGCATATTCTCCTCAATTATTTTAAGACCTTGAGTCTTGGTCCGGCCGGGGCTCGAACCCTCGACCTCCCGCACAACAGTCCAGCGCTCTATCCATTGAGCAAACCGGGAGGCGGTTAGCTCAATGGATAGAGTACGGTTACGTACAACGGTTACGTACAAGAGCACTACCTTACATCCGGTAATTTCAACTTAGTTCATATAAGCAAATTACCTTGTTACCCCACCTACGCACCACCACAGTTTCTTTAGAAACTTTCAGCTTTTACACATAAAGATCTTGTCTCAAAAGACTCTAATGTTACCAGCTTCAAGTATGTCTCTGTAGTAACAAAGGACTAAGAGTGTTGAGTGGAATGCTGCTTCGATGCAAGCCACCCTTCAATATATTTCAGGTTTTGATCACAATTAACCGGTATCCATCTATACTAAAGAGTGGAGAGAAAAACTGGGAAAGGAAAGTGTCATGAACATAACAGAACCAGCCCGTCAGGGATAAACCCAGGCCTTTAGATCCCAAATCCAGTTCACTATCCACTAAGCCACCGCGTCCACAACTATTTACAGTACACTATACGTACAAGAGCACTACTTACATCCGGTAATTTCGCCCAATTGAAGGACTTCAGAGGCTGAGATGGTTTTGGCGCCTTCCTGTTCGGTTGTTTGCTAAACCCGAAGAACCCGCCATCTGACTTGCCACCGGGTGGTGGGGGAGGGGCTGGAGAGCCTGATAAGCCACCAGGTGGGGGAGGTGGCGGGGGAGCTCCTCCCGGAGGAGGAGGAGGAGGAGGTGGTGGTGGTGCAGCAGCCCCCCCTGGTGGTGGAGGAGGAGGGGGTGGGGGGACTACACCTTGCATTGGTGATTGCTTGGCAGCAGCCGCTGCACTGGTGAGGTTGGAAATCTTGGCGTCGTCTGGTATTGATCCACCAACACCTTTGAGGATTTCTTCCAGCTTCAGTCTTTCTTGACCTTCAAGTTCAATCTTGGAGGAAACAGATTTATGTGAGTAGTCGGCGGAGTATGGAGTATGGTGTAACGAGAGATGACTACATTGAAGTTGACTGTTAAACGTAAGTTGCGTGACATGACACTAACGCATTTACGATTAGATTAAAAGGGAAATAGGAGACACGATAATCGGAGCGATATGTTTTTTAGGAGAGAGTGTACCAAGTTTGTGACGTGGTGAATGTTGACGGCAAATAATAAAAGAGTGTACCCCACAAGTTCGGTACCTGTCAAGATTGAACAATATTCCAGACATACATTAATGTGGTTCGTTCTGCAAAATTTTCATGCCAGGAGCAAGCGCACCTGAGAATGTCATAGTCCTGGTAGTGGCACAAAGAACCTCTCTCACCTTTAATTTCGCTTCATTAAGTTTAGTTTCTTGTTCTCGGATCTGCTGCATGGCTTCCTCTCTTTCTTGAGATTCTCTTTCAAGTTTCACGGACATTTTATCAAATGCTTCCTTCAGTTCTTCCTATGGAACAATTCAAAATGCAATTAAAGTGGGCAGTAAAGTTTTCAAGTTGGGATGTAAGTGCAATGCAGCTATTTTTTCTGGCTCAGTTGGGTCCCTGTGCCAAATAGATGAACTGTGCAAGGTAGGAAAGCCGAAGCCAGCAAGTTCCAATCTTTCGCAGCTCGCTTACAATGGTACCTCCAAGTAGCGACGCTGCAAATCAAGCATCGCCGTTCTCTGAAGAGGAAATACTGATTACCACCACTCCCGAAAAGGTACGGTGATTATTACTATTACTATTATACCCTAGAGGCAAACGTCCGATTGGTTTTACTGAGATGGTAACACACGAAGCCATGCATTGTGTTTATAAAGTCACTTGAGCTCTTTTGCTCTGAGCCTCAGTGTTGTATCCAGGCATCTTACCAGTTCTTGTTTTTTGCTATCGGCTTCTCTTTCTTTCTTCTGGAGCTTGGCTTTAAGACCTTCAACTGTAACAACGACAAAAGAATAGTTATTTGTAACAAAAAAAATCGCACTCTCACCAAAACAAATCGTTTAGAGGTCGTGGCTATTTTATTGATTGACTAATTCCCTTTACAATGTTCATGTGAGAAGGATGATAATATTGTTTTTAATATACAAACAAATAAAATAATGGACATTAATAGTTATTCAAGCCAACAGAGGTTTCCGAGTGCAAATATCCACTGAACATTGCCAATTTTACTAGTCGGAAAAAAAAAAAATAGGGAAAAAAAACTTCATCTATTGGCTCACCGTCTTCTCCAAGTTCCTCCCTTCGTAACTCATCTTCATGAAGTAATCTGTACCAAAAAAAGGGTCAAAACAACCACAGTTTTAATTCACAGCATCAGTGAATGTTAACAAGAAAAGGAAAGACAAGCAAAGACGTAAAGGCCAGTACAGCGTGCTTAAGAATCACTCCACTCACGTGTCTAGAATGTAGTTCACATTGATATCCAATGGCGCCACATCCGGGTCACTGCCGTCATCTTCCTGGACAGCGATTTGCTGAACGACTCTGTCAATCAACTGCCAAAGTCTACGAGCCACACCATGATCATCTTCAATAAAAAAAAATACATTGGTAGTGATGCTGTGCTCACGCGTTAAAGCGAGTAATTGTTTTCACTATGTGTGCAGAACCGTTTACTTGTCTTGCACCATTACAGGCACTTAATGCACGTGCAACGGCTCGTAACAGAAAGCTAATATTTAAATCAATAGTTCCCGTTTGCCGTAAGCCTCACGCTTAAGCTCCTGATTCTACATTAAGCAAACTTTCAACAAAACCACAGATGCAATCAAATCAGATCAATAATAATGGCTGGCGTTAATGATAACTATGATGGTAGTTAAAATAACGATCTAAAAACTGAAACAATCCAGACTCACTCGGAACAAGGAGCAAATGATGAAGAATTGACAACAGATGCGGATACGCTGATGTTGTACATAATTTCCTTCTGAGAACGTCAAACATACAGCTCGCACTTCTCAGATCAATGTAAGGCTACAAAAAAAACAGAAAAAATTCAAGATATTTGTAATACTTTTTTGCAAATATTATGTGAAAATTCATCACCTGACGAGGGAATTCCGCATTAAAGGGCGCGCGAAAACCGATATCGCACTAATTCGCATAAATGAATAGAAATAAGATAAAAAGGGGTTACAATTTGACAATAGTTGTTGCGTATATGCAGAGGCAAAAAAAATATCACTTAGCCTCGTTTTCAACTCGCAATTCCACGCTACATGTAACTACCTCGCTTTGTTAAAGTCCCTATTCACCCCCAGAGGTTTAAATATATTTACATTCTTTGCGTTATCAGGATTAATCTAAAAAAAAAAATTGTTTTTGATTGGTTAAATATTCCTCGAGATATGCCGCCTCAAAGTTCGTCCTTTGGCCACGCCCTTTTGATTTGGCCGGGCGAAGTTAATACTGGTAACTAAAAGTCCCTCATGATGTCACAGCCAGAACGTCTTTCCATCGATGTGCCTACATTCACGGTATTTTATGGAGGAATACGTCTTGAGACAAATCTGGTGAATTTGAACAACCAGCCACCACGCAACAAGTCGGCATCTACACATCATTTTACAACAATAGACACATGTTCTTATACAAGAAGTTAACATTCGTTCTTGCTGTGACGTCACTTAGAGGTAGTAGGTCCGAGACTCGGCCCAATAATTCTCTCCCGGCCAAGTCAAAAGGGCGTGGGCAAAAGAGTAACTTTGAGGCGGCATATCTCGGGAAATATTTAACCAATCGCAGAAGTGGTTTTTGGAGATTAATCCTGATAACCCAAAGAATCGAAATATATATAAACCTCTGGGGGTGAATAGAGACTTTAACCAATCGGAGTACGAGATGTTTTTCAATTATGCGATTCTAGAACGTACCCGAATAGATACAAGAAGTATTCAGATACTTACCATACCATATCTCTTGGAGAGGTCTTTTTCATCATTAAGCCTTACAATGTCAAAAAAGTTCAAATGCCTGAAAAACAGTAATGAATTTTAAAAATAAGGCGGCAAGGTTATCACAGCTGTCAAAGAAAAAAAAAATAGCTTTTCTCCACTTTCCAATGTCATCCCAAGTTTTAACTGTTTTTTTCATAATTTTTTATTTTTACTGTAGAATAACTGCAATAAAAAGTTTACTCCTTTTTAACGAAAAAATTAGCATAGTAATGTGGAAATGTTCTTTGTGGGATGAATGTGTTGCTTCTCTTTTGACGAGGTGGAGTAGGTTCAAAACTTTTACATGAAAGTTTGAAGAAATTGGCATTGCATCGTGGAGTCTTAATTACACTGCAGTTGCCGACGAGTCAATTAAGACAAACCTTTCAAGAGTCGCATTTTCCAAAGTTCGCAGCTTTTCAATGACTGGCTCAATTCCTAGCATAAGGAACTCGAATCGGAGATGAATACGAAAGTCGAGATGTTCCTGTGGGAGAAAAAAGGTACTTTGATAATAGCCCATTTCCGAGTTACCTTTGGCCCCTTTTGCAAAGCGAGTCCTGGTGCTCATCCTTTCATATAATAATAAGTTTTCATTCTCATGCAAATTAACCTCATTTTCAAACGAATGTTTGAGCACCAGGCCTCGTTTTGAAAAAGACGCCAAAAGTAATTAAATGGCCTATTGCAGAAGCACGCGCTCAGAAATGAGCCATCGCTAAGACTATTAATTCAACAGATTCCACTAGTCACCAAGCGCATATCTCAACATGGTTCAGGATTGCTGAGAAAAAGCTTCCAATCAGTGCTAGTCAATCTTTCCGCATGATGCCTCTTCCTTTTAAAAACAGAATTAATTGTCCACAGTTCTGCTCTGACCTCCCCAAAAAATAAGAGAATGATAAAGTGTACGAACGCGGTGTTATAAATTATTCTAAATATAACGGGTTGGTCCTATTGTATGACCCACTAAACGTATGCAGAGCAATTTTCTGGTGTTTTCAAAAAAGATCAGCCTCACAAATCAGCAAATTTTAGGATTTTCTGTAACTTTTAAGCCATCATGAAAGCATCCTAACAAAAAGTTAAGAAATTTAGTCAGAAAATATAATTATTATTAAATATATTAGAAAATATCGGTGTAACAAGTACATTGTACTATGGGCCTACCGCTCCTGCTCCATATTTCAAAGCTGCATTGATGAATGACATTATGGCTATCTTCAAGTTAAATTCTTCCCTGTATTGCCCAGTTGTACGGTCCAGGTCATTGATCAATGTCTGAAATGGAGGAAAATTTCACAGACATGAGTCACTTGTTTTCTCAAGGTGAAAGAAAGATCCGTTAACCAAAATATAATAAAACTCACCTGGAATCTTGTTCGTTCCTCATTGAACCTCTGAAAGTGAGTCATGGCATCTAGAGCCTTTTTGTGACCTCCAGGCACCAAACAGACAGCTCCAAGGATTTCTAACACTGCAAGAAGAGACACAAGTCATGGTCAAGTAGACCATTGGAAGTCCATCTTTGTCACATTTTCATATATGCATAAAACCCATTTAAGGCATGTACTGAGTAAAACTATGAAGTGTTCCATTTTCAGTCCCTTTTCACATAGAATCTATAGCACAATACTTTTCAAGAAATGAGTTTGCATCCCTCCCTATTAATTAAAAAAAGACTAACCTAAAGAGAGGAGAGATTCCAAGCCTACATAACGATATGAGCAAGATTGGCAGATTGAGGCAGATTGCTGTAACTGGATTGAAAATCACCAGCCAGATGAAACTTGTAAAGGTCATGTTGTGTTCATCTTGGCAATCAAGCTAAAATCCCTTGATGAAAAGTGAGGCAGGCTGCAATACTAAATGTACCTCAGTGTAAATTCTTTAACAGCAATTGTACCTTAGCCTGCCTTTTTTATCAGCATACCTTGTATTTTGGTTTTGACATTTTCAGAACTCATACTTTGAGCAATGACATTTATACATGATGGATGTGCCAACACATGTGCTCTTCCATGCTATAAGAAGAGGAGAGAAACGTTACTACCTACAATCGTGCAAGCAGATTTTCAGTAAAATTAAAACAGTAAAAATTACTGTCAGTGGTGATACTCACTGAGCTGTTCATCAGTGCTTTAAAACATCCTATTGCAGCTGTATGAATTTTACTTTGACTAAAAAGAAAAAGAAAATTTCGTTAGGATACCGTTGAATACACGAGCCTGATTCATTTTAAAAAGAATTAATAAATGGAATAAAAAGCTGCCATATTTGTGAAAAAATGCCCTCTTGCCTGCCTCCTGCATTACTACACAAGGTTAATAAATAGTCTAAAGAAATACATCATGATTTGTCAAATATAAAATTTGAACTGTACCTTGTTGCGTAGTCCATATTTTCTAGGAATTCTAATAAACAATTTAAACCTTCTAATTCGATAAACCTATGAACAAATCTGCAAAAGATAAAAAAAAAAACAGAGAGAATTAGGCCTCCTTGTCTACAAAATTTAATGTATCTCTATGGCATACCATGTGGGACAATATTGTTGGCGCAAAAATAAAGTGCAAAGTTAAATATAATTATATGCCATGGATCAAATAAATATGATATGAATGGAATATAATATGGTATGGACCAAATACACATGATTCATACAGACACATATTTGTATCATTGGTTTCCACATTCTTTTCAAAAACAACGTTGACTGTGAATCTGTTTGTATCAACTTTTATTCTTTGCATATATAGAGATAATTTACAATATAAATATGGGGTAAATGCTTGAAAAATATATATGGTCATGGTGCCCATTGTCAATTTGGTCAGTGGAAGATTGATAAAAAATAACAGGGGAGCCTGTGACAGGATTGATGATTTAGAGCAATTTTTCGAGAGCTCTATTCCATCCCTTTTTCGTCAAGCTCGTAGAAATCTTCACTCTGAAAACATCAATGTCTTGGAGTATTTTGGACGCTGATTAGATGATCATACATATGTTGTTAGGTGTTTCATATTATTTTGAGTACGAAGTGCAAAGCACTGGCGAAAGTTTACTTGAGCCACTTTATCTCTTGTACGAAAAAATCATTGGCTTAAGAAGTCAGTTTCTAAATCTTTGTTGCATGCTTTGAGACTAATGGTCTGAAGGGCTCCTCGACTTTGAGAACGGCTAACTTCCTGAGTTCCAGCTCCAGAAACTGCTGTTTGAGTTGAAGTTTCAGGGTTTGAACTTGAACTATCGGAAGACCTAGCTTGCAAGGCTCTTTTTAATTGAGGATGATCAATAATCTGTCAAACAAGGAGGTCGACAGTGGGAGTAGAGTTTGCCATAATTATTCCTTCTCTGCTCGATTCCGCGATCAGATGCCAAGTTTTCCGGCTTTCCAAAATAACACTGCTGGCCAAAGCCATAAAGCGCACAATAGCTGTATATATTTTTCGTACTTTTGTCCTATGACCGATATACATTTTCATGTCATATATTTATTTATTCAGTACCATATATTGACTTGGTCCATGCCACATATATGTTGCACATACTCTAGTCATATATTTATTTGATCCATGCCATATAATTTATACTTAAATTTTGCATTTTATTTTTTGGGCTCACAATGTTGTCCTATATGGCACCCAATATATCTCTACAGCCGTAACTACATATGTAAGCAGGAATGAAAATAAATGTATTCATTTCAGTGCTCTTCAATTTAAAGGCCAAACGTATACATACCTCAAGGGCTGAGTGCGCAGTGCAGTCTTTAGTCCATCAACAAGTTTTGCTCTTGTCTCTATTTCCTCCTCACTCTTAAAAACATATATCTGTCAAAAAAAAGGATTTTCTACTGTCAAGGCAAGTAACCCATACTGCCCAAGTTTCCTCCCATACTGCCCAAGTCTCCTCCCATACTGCCCAAGTTTCCTCCCATACTGCCCAAGTTTCCTCCCATACTGCCCAAGTTTCCTCCCATACTGCCCAAGTTTCCTCCCATTTCTGCATCAAGAAGCAACTAAGAGTAATGCCACTCCCTCCCCTCCATAGGATGCTAATCTATTGCAGGTTACCACCCCAACATTTTGTCGGGGTTCCATAACAATTTCTGGTACTCTTGAGTGGAGAGGAGCACTGCAAAAGTAAAATGTTTCTTTCCAATAAAAACAACAGCCAGGTCTTATTTAACCCATAACTGTTTTCCCTAAGTCCAGTGTTCTAAAAATATGGCCGCACTTATATCTAAAACAAGTCAAAAGTCAACATCAAAGTTGCCTACGTGTGAAGAGGTCTGTGAGAATATACAGACGACTGGCATGTGGGACTTACTGAATGAAGGCTCTTCAACTGATCTGTGTAGTACTCGGGGTAACTGGTGGAACTTAATTCTTGTTGTTCCTAAAAATTTGATGTTAAAGAATAAATAAATGATAAAAATTACACAACTTGTGCACCTAACGAGTCAGTAAATTGTAAGGTGTGCAATACAGCCATGTATAAATATTCATCAATGTCCACTGCTAAATGAAGTTAACCACAAGTTTCCCACATATTCCATCAGGTTTTAATGGCAGCTTAAGGACCTTAACCAATGTACATGAAAATTCTTGGTTAGAAACATGAAATATCTATGATCCATCATCACTGTGAATGGTTCTAAACAATTAAAGAAGGCCATCCTCTGATATTTGTGCTGAAAACAAATTCACAAACAATCAGACACTGTAGATTAATGAAGACAATTGGAAAAATTGCATAAAAAGCAATGAACTAAACCTTTGGCTCCCTCTTATTGATACAGAAGCAGTTCTAAATTATTGTTTGTCGCTCCTCTTCTTTTTCGAGACTACAAGAGGTTTAAGCATTCAACCCTCTCTGAATCTATTGGCCTCTTATACTGACTGGCAACAAGCTAACAATATCTTTGCCTCAATACCGAAAGAATTAAATTAAAGAAAAGCAGACAGGTTGTCTCTGAAAACAAGCATTTCTAATTTAATTCCCACCTTAGGTGTTGTTTTCATCTATTTTATATATTGAAACAGAACCTTAACTTGTTACAACCTACGGTCACTAATGTCGATCTCTACGTCTGAACATGTATGCAGATTTTCCATACTGAGGTAAAATAAAAAGATTCATATAATTGTAGTGCACACGTACAGAATAACAGAATAAAAACAAATAACCAAGTAAAGATTAAACAGAGCCTACACAGAACATTTTTTGGTGAAGGGGTTAACCCTTTCGCTGCCAAAAGTACAAATTCGTACGCTCTGACACTATCCATACTAAAAACCTCAGGGGAGCCCCAGTTAGTATTGTTTTGAGTTTGCAAATATTATTATGGTTTGTCTGGTCATGTTCCTTCATTCGTAGCCATATTTCTCGCTGTTTATAAATTTGACCAGTTTTTTTGCGAAAAAATTTGCTCGCGCAGTACTATCCTTTTAAAAATGGCGTCTGCATGCATTCCAGTCGAGGAGGCACGGCAAATTGTGTTAGAGGACGATCCTAACCAAGTTTTCTTTTGAGGGAAAAGGACACTATTTAGACTTGTGAACTGTATCTTTGAATGTACATGAAGTATTTCATACTGCTTTTTTCCTGCGCCTACACTCCTGAAGGTTGCTATGGATTGTAATTTTTTTATACGAACAGAACCATTTTTACCTTATTGTTCATTTATGGTTCTTTGTGTCCTTTGTGGCTACTTTTTTGGTGATTTCAATTGAAGCTAGCTTGTTGTTACTCAATTATAGTTCTGCAATATCACATGTCCTCTAATTTTTGAAAACTGCTAATCCGCACCTTGATGAACAGTAAAAGGCATAACTTTGGTTGCAAGGAAGATAATTGGATGGAATAAAAAGTGTTCGGTTCCTGAAATAATACACTTGCATAATACAAAAGTTATGCTCACAAGTATGTTGATGCTTTGTCTTAGTAGAGCAGGAAAAACAAAATACTCTTCAAACATTTTGTTATGCTTGGCTTTTCTTGCTCCAAATTATGTGCACAAGGACCCATATGTAACAAAATAGTCTTAAAATGATGGTAATTTTTCTGCTGATTAAAATGATATATAGTTTGTTGGGGTTAAACTTAAAATGTGATGAGCTGTGGCCTGATTTGTCAGCTTACATCACAGAAAAATATTGAGTCCCCAAGAACCTGCCAGTGAAAGGGTTAAAAACAAGAACAAATAAGCTTCAGCCACAAGACAAGGGGAATGGGGCCATGCTCAGCAAGATAATTTTTTTTTAAAGTGGGAGGGGAGGGGGGGCTAAACCTCCCAGCCCCTCCCACTGCACACAGTCCTTGTCAAAGAATGGTGAACAGAGTCCCATTAAATATAATTTATGTGAAAAATGTCTTTCAGTGCACTTGCACATCTGTGCATTTATAGAAAAGTAATTAATTATGCAACTGTATGATGTACTGTAAAGAACCTGATCAACACTATATGTCTTATCAATTGCAGCATTCCTCAATAAATCTAAAGTATATAAAAATACTCGGCTTAATGCTCTTGCACAACCCAGTTGCCACATGCAACTATCTTTTGTCTTGGGCCAGGCTGAGTGATCCTGCTTTTTTAAAGATGAGCACCCAGAAAACAACCCTGGAAAAGGTAACCAGAGTGATTCTTTATAGCTTTACTATGTCTAGGTCTATAAACTACTACATGGCGAGATCAAGATGAACTTAGGGATGAAGTAGTTCTCTTGAAATGATTGTAAAGGAAGTAATTTACACCTAGGCTTCCCTTTATTTTCATTCTATATTTACTTTTGTGCAGCAAATGACAATAATATAACTTTACAATCATGATAAAAGAAAAAAAAATTGGAAAAAAGTGTCTTATGGAATCAATGATTGTGATTGTCTTGATAACAAAATTGCGCGTCAAAATGAAAACTATATACAATTGGTAACATCACACTGTTAAAGTTCTCATCGTGTATCAACAGGCATATACATGTATGTTCAGCTACATTAACCTATTGACGTCCAGTGCACCCGTAAGCGCCCATGTGGACCCACACCCTTTCTATGCCTTGTGACGTCATCCCTTTTAACCCTGGAGCACGACTTTGAGCACGTACTTGAACAGGTTGAAAATATCTTAAAAACGATACCAGAATGAGCGCAATTGAGTGAAGGAGATTGGAGAAATAGCCAAAAAACCATGTAACTTTGACCTGAAAATCTGCACGAAAATCTTGTTCCATTACCCACCTACCTTTCTGAGCATGTGGTTTGAAAATAAAGAGTAGTTTCCTAAAAAATCTCTACACCAAAATGAAGCCTACTAAATTTCCAGCAAGTGAGGAGAAACTTCAGGCAAGGAAAGGGGGAAAAAAGGGCAGGAGAAAGAGAGAAAAGTAAAAGTCTGTGCGTGCCCGAGATTTTCAGGCCGCCAATTTGCATTTCGATTGAAAGGTCGTTGAGTGTACTGCACAAGCTGTCAATGGGTTTGTGGTAAGTTTGAGCTTTTGAAACCACAACAGCGACCCGAAATCTGCTCGACTAGCTTCAAAACACAGTTTTTCACAAAAGCTGCGGCTATTAATGTGTTAAATCACAAGCAGCGACTCTTAGGGCTGTTCATGCATGACAAATTTTCATTGCAAAACCCTTGACAGTGAATGTAAGGGTAAAATGGATGGCTACCAAACCATTTAGAATAAGTTAAAAAGCTGTTTGATTGGCTAACGCCAATGACTTCACCTCTCAAACTAGTGTGTAATTATACATGTGGTTTTAGAGGTCAAAAATTCTATATCCACAACAAATACTTACGATGAATGATAGTAGAATGTACTGGAAAACTCAACTACCTATTTACAGACATATTATTTTGATTAAATCATCATTGAAAAAACATAAGTAAATGTAATTGTCAAAATCATACAATAAAGTCATGTACTAGAGAAATATTATTTTCAAAGAACTTAAGGCATTGGTTAAATAATATTTTTGTCTCTGCTGATATTTTTTATTGGCTCAGATAGCTGGTTAACAAGTTTAGGCCTAGAGTTGTCAAAAGAAAAACTCAAACAGCATTCTTCACATCTAAAATATTCCATCCTAAAGATGGTAAAGAGATCTTAAAAAATCCAAGATTTGATGATTAATGATGACTGATGTGAAATATAATCACAATTAATTTGGCAAAGTAGAAAAATGGAGATTTCTTCGCTAAGTCTTGACAAGGACTTTGATTCTTTGTAGCACAGAAATTAAAAATAGATATTTCAGAGGATCCTCAATTCGTTGTAGCAAAAAATAGATTTTTCAGTGCAACTTTGATTCATAATACCAAATGGTTTAAGGCAGACAATATTGTCTGACCACAATAAAAGAGAAATGCCTTGACCAATATATTTGGATTTTGAAAGAATTCACTGAAAGAACAGTCACTGTTATAATAATTATATTTTTTTCTCAAAAACAAATCATTAATCCTCTCTTGGTTTTCTTGATAAAACTACTTGTCTTGTGTGCCATACAGATACAACAAAAAAATGAAAATATGTAATATTTTTGTTTGTGAGTTTAGTGATAAAAAGTGTTTTTAAAAATCTAGACAGCTGCAATCTTGGGCAATTATTGAAGCGCCTCAAAAATGCAAATTGTGAGTAATTCATAAACTTGTGTGTAATTCAAAACATTTTAATGTTAACTCCAAAACCTTTTTACTTTACACGAATTCCACTTTTGAATATTTATTTAGCACTTGTGTGCCGGTTTGAATATTCAGCATAACAAAGAACTACTTAAAAATAAAAGAAAAACTAGAGCTTTATGTAATTATTAGGACTTCGCGCATGATACCATCGGCACCTACAGCTAGTTGTCAAACACGGACCTCATTAAAATTTAATATCGCTGAGTTATACTGTGTAAATATGAAGTCCTCCAATATCAAGCAGTGAATCAACAGGTATCGGAAGGAAGGAAAGAGCCACATCTTACCTTCTTTTTCGATAGGTAGAGCTGCCATTTTTTCTCCGGAGGTAACTCAAACATGGCCTTCTTATGAACCGCAGTGAGGTCAAGCTCCTCCTGTAGAACATGAACAAAACGCGGATAAATATTGATAAGAAATAATCAAGATCGACACTTTTCTGATACGAAATATTTGTATTTAGTTGCAAGCATAGCTCGTTCTTCCCTTGTTTCAGGGATCGATATATTTGTGTGGTTTATTTTGGGCACTTTAATTTAAAAGTAAGTTTTCTAACATTTAGTCATAAGTTCAACTTATGTTGACTAAAATTGTATTGTGCACCATTAAAAAATTACTTGATGCGATTTCAAGAATCAGACTTTAGACCTCCTGTGTTCCCAACGGTTGCGCTTTATTTTTTAGAAGAAACGAGAAGAAACGCTATTAATAACTGATTTCGGACCTCGTGGAAGATAGTACGAAGCGATTAAAAATATACCATTCAAGGAAGCACTGATCGAGTCGAAGACGTCGATTACATATATTATATGCGAGCGGAGTATTGATTTTTCATTTAGAATCTATACATTTGGAACGATCAATTCGAATGATCGATTGATTTACTCGAAAGGCACTGCTCAAAATACCTAATCAAAGATTTAATCACAACTAACATCGATGTCTGGAGACATAACTTCATTGGCAAGCTGAATTTATAAAAAGTCGGAAATGATTTTGAAGTCGCTGGATAAATTTATTAATATAAACAATAGTCAGAGACGTGGAATGGTAGAAATTTGACTCAGGGAGAATTGATCGGACGCAGATTGCCTCTAAAATGGACATATAGGCAAATTTGTTGTTGGGAATTTCATATATTAAATATTAGATAAAACTCATAAATGTAAATCGTGAAGATCTATTGCTGAAATACTAGAGCGAAGTGAAAGAAACGACAATCTGTAATGCCAAAAGCACTTGATTCAAGTCCTTTGGGAATAATTTCGTGGAATCTTCAAGGCATAAATTTGTTCTTCTCTGCTATATTTTTCCGAGAAGAATAATAAACTACTGATCCAATAACGTTCGAGAAAATGCCAAATTTTGGCCTCTTGCACGTGTAAGAATCATAAATAACAAATCTAATCGAAAATACCTGCCTACGCCTCCTTGACAAATGTCAAAGAAAAGAATGAACATGAAACTAAATAACTTCTCCAATTTGTGGTAAACAATTCTAGCGTTAACTTTCAACCTCTATTCACATACCACAATCTCTGCAAACTTGGCATTGAGTTCGCTCTCTTCAGGCATCGGCTGTGAAAACTCCTGAAGCGTTTGCATTCCCTTTGAATGGTCGATGCCATAGCGAATTTCAGGGTGGTTCGAGCGAGACCCAAAACAGCCAACACCACGCTTTCGAGGCATTTTACAAACCAACTGTTATCTTTTCACATGAATCATGAGTATACACTGCCACATAAACCTTTAAGGATAGAAAAAGTAATGAACTGAAGGACAATAAACAGCCGTATTCATCAGCCGCTTCGCTGAATGACCAAAACACTAACTCGCGCGAGTACTGAACGAAGATAGCACGGGACTTCAAACCATACCTGTGTAGGGGAGGGGTGGTTCACATATTTGTCAGAATGGCTGTGAAGAACAATTAAATCAAATCAAACCAAATGAATCAAACCATTCACAGCTACTTTGGTAGACGGATATTTCGCTTTAACCTAAAATATCTTTCTAACTTAAACTATTGTTAAATCCCGCTCATTTAAAAATGGCACTGATAGACCAAAATTTTACCCCTCTCCTGTTAGGTATGAATTGTCGTCATAAAATTAACTTTACCGGGATGAAGTGATTGACCTAAGTTTTTGCTTCAGCTTTCCGACGAAAACCTTTACACGACTGACTCATTCGGTCTAATTGATAATTTTTAGCTTAGAATAATTGATTGTGTACTCTAAGATGGATGTATGAATATCCATGAAGCTTAATACATGGTTATATTTCATTGCGTTTTATAGTTCAATTCATCGTAACACCTGAACTCACCGAAATGAAAATTTACTCGTTTCCGACCTTCCGGTGTGAAGAAAAACATTGCCGCCTCTAGCTAGAAACCGGATATGGAATTGTCTTGGATATGAGGTACAAAGCGCCGAGTTCCGGAGAAAGGATTATAGAACAATTAACAATTAGGGGGAGTTGAAAACAAAATGGACACTACGTGCTTTCGTGATGTTTTGGAAAATTAAGGTTTAGGCAGGAGAGAACCGGAATCTAACAAGAAAGGTTCCTTTCTGAACTTCTCAGCTCAGAGCCATACTAAACAACATAGTTTTACAACGTTAAATTGAGTAAAAGTGTGGTCAAGTGCCTCTTCCGTATCGGTCTAAATATGGCACAAAACTAATATTTGCGCTTCAATGGTACTGTTATATGCAACGTAATGATCCTTATATGTGCACGATCCTTCGCAGTAAAGCACTATTTAAGCAATAGTGAAAATCAGACCTGAAAAAAATTCAGGCCTGTACGGGATTCGAATCGCGTACAGGCCTCAATTTTTTTCAGGTCTGATTTTCACTATTGCTTAAATAGTGCTTTACTGCGAAGGATCGTGCACATATACGTTTCATAACTGCAGTTCATATATATGTATTTCATATGTTTGTTGTAATGATCCTTGTCACTATGAGAATCATTTTAAGTTGCTATTGAATCTTCGTCCTTATAATATCTGGAAAACGCCCAAAGTTACGACTTTGCTTGCCCAAAAGCACCAATTTATAAATGTAACGAGCTTCCTGTCCTATTTGTTTTATCACGTCAAGAACGTAAAACCGCCCACAAAACTAGAGAAACTTCCCTTTCGATATTTTATCTTTGAGTTAATTTTAGCTCGTGATTCAAGTTTTATTTTGTATACTTCGTCTGAGATTAAAAAGGAAGTAGTTATTTTCCGTTTTCGCACTGATTAACGAGAGGGGTGGAGACCCTGTGTGTTTTGTTTTGTGTCTCTTTGTGACACGGAAGTCTTGACTTCTCGGAAACTAAGAAACGTTCTCCGGATATGGACAACAATAGGCGCAAGAATTACTTAAAATAGCTCAATACCAATAAAAGTTACATTAAATGTATGAATAATTGCACCCTGGATTATAAATTGTTAAAACTATGGGTTCGCTACGCTTCGTACCCGGCCCAGAATTAAAGCTTTCAAGTTGTTATTCGGATCCCCGCAAGAGCTCAACTGATGCTATGAAAACCTCTTGTATTACTTGTATTCCGTGAACGTGATTGATCGATAGTTCCTTTAGCGAGCAGAACTTCCTCTTGCTTCTCCCTGAATCAATATCTCAATGGGATACACGTCAGTGTTGTCAAACTGAAGAACTCTTTCACGTACGAGAGTCGAATCCTTATCAGCAGTTATACGCACATTCTTAAACTGTTTGTTACCACATGTTGTTCATAGTCAAGAAACTTATAGAAAATCGAAACCCTCAAATAGTGATTTTGTTTCATCTCCTGCAATTCACCTCATTCTATAGGGTTCCTGCAAAAAAGTTGAGTGACTTGTACCTATCCTGTCACTTGCAAAAATTAAAGTAGCTTTCGAACAGGCCTTTCTATGTTCTATGTATTCTTGATTTTCTTTTCTTTTTTGCGAGGTCTAATACGACCTTCATTCCGTCAAATTATACTGATAACAAGGTTTCACGAAATAGGATGAACTGGGTAGACCGGGTACATCAATGAGAAACCTTACAAAACCGCAATCATTGGAATAGTCTGCACAAAATTTTTCTTCAAATTTTTACGGTCAAGTTCAGTTTATGACTTAAACCGGCCTGAAAAAAGAAATAGAACCGATTCGGTCCGAGTGCATTTACTCGCAGCGACAAGACCGAGCGGCCGCGGGTCGTCCCGGAAGAGGAGAGAACCCGCGCGAGGAATGGAGAGGATAGCATTTGCGTGTGTCCTCACACTCAGGCTCGCAGCTCTGCCGCGCGCGTTCATCTGACACGTAAAGACCAGCAGCTCCGCGAGACACTTGTAAGACGTGAAACTGAAATCTTTCAAGGACTGGTGAACTGAAAACTCGTCTAGGTTCCAGATTTATCTAAACGCATGGTACACTCCACCTACAATAGTCTACTGAAAATCTCACAAATTGGTTGGGAAAAAAGTGATTATATATAATTTGTACTCGGATTTGTATATCAGAGCTGCGAAATTGATAAATCTGCGAAGGCAGCTAATCCATTTTAATGAAATGTTGTTTAATTCATGTACACACGCAGTTATTTCCGAGTAACTGGAGTGCAGTCAAAACAACGACCGGTTATCTCCAATTAAAATACAATTTAATTATTCGCTTCCTGTCCATTTCTTTGAGAGGGCGCCATGAATCGGAAAATCGGTGTCGTCACTTCCATTTACGGTGACTTTATCTCATAAATCCAAAGGATTTGTTTCGAGCCCAACCAGCTGTGACTCAACCCAGCCAAGTCCGTAGCAATTCAGCACAAATGTGGCTCGAACAATATCTTCCATTATCATCAAATGGTTTAGTAGAGAAATTCCAGTGAGAGGAGAATATTATCTTTTGAGTTCATCTGTGCGAAAGCTTCATAGTGGACGATCAACTTTCATTATCAATTGGATCTTTTGGGTAATATTGATTAGATTTACATTAATATGATTAATTATTTCCTCATTTTCTCTGTGCTTTTCTGATCTGCGACAAATGATCCACACAAAAAAAGCCGATAATTAGAGATAACACTTCAATAAGATGTGCGAGGGATATTTTTAACATAGAGACCCTCTCTATGAATACCTTGCAACAGTGTTTCATCCTTGGCGACAGACACGAGACTTGAAAAATAAAATTGCGTTGACTCTCGAAAGTGCAAGCTACTGAATCAAATCTAAATAGATTTACCGCTAAAGTCAGCCTGTTACATTTTTTTTTTCTTATTTTAAATTGGATATTAGAATAGTTTAAGTTTAAAGGACGAAAATCTGGCAGGTTCGCGCAATTTCGAAGTCAACAACTGGCTTTAAAAGTAACTGCGAGAGGATCAAGCTAAGACATTTTTTATTCCATAATATTAGTTTTACTCCAAACATAATCCTTCGTGAGATTATTTTCTTCTTTCAGAAACCTGGTCTCCCGTGAACAATATATGGTTAAGCCGGCTCAGAGTACTCACAAAGTGCCACAAGGGTCGCCATTGAGGCGAAAGTACAATCGCATTTTTTACACTCCCCGTCACTCTCTGGCCCTATCTACTATCTAAGCACCTGAAAAAGGGCACGCGACATCTATCTCGCATGCTGGTTGATCTGTGATGCAAAGACTTGGTCACCAAAACTTTGATAGAGGATAATCTGTTTCGGTCACCGGACTGACTATGCGCTATGCGCAGATCTATGTCGGCGGGTACGCTGACTATGCACTATGCGCTGATCTAAGTCGGGTACGCTGACTATGCACTATGCGCTGATCTA